AACCCTCTCTCGAGCAGTATCACATAGACTTATTCAACTATATCATTTGAAGAAGGGTTGACCGATCATATTGCATTCTTTGTTTCTTGATTATGCTATACTCTTCTTTAATAGATATGAGGCATCTATTAAGAGACTCATAACTATCATCTCAAGCTACGAGCAAGCCACAGGTCAACTCATTAATGTCTCAAAGAGTAGTTTTATGATGGCATCTTCTACCAACATTAGCATCATATAACGTATAAAAGATATAACAAGATTCTCACGTGGACATTTACCTTTTGATTATCTTGGATGCCCTATCTTCTTTGGATGCACTCAGATTCATTGTTTTGATGCCTTTCTATGCAAGCTAAAGAAGAAACTTGCTAAATGAAAACTTCAGCTTCTATTTCCAAGAGGTCGCATCCAATTAATATGCCATGTCCTCACAAGTATGCCATTACATCTACTAGTAGTACATGAGATACTAAATACCATCCTACAATCTATGAGGTGAATATATAACTCTTTTTTATAAGATGGTCAACTCAACAGGCATCATCGCCAATGATAAATTTCTTAGGAGAAAGCATGCTGATTGACGGAAGAGGGTGGACTAGGGATTAGACGTCCTAAAGACATACTTGACATGCTTCAGAAGAAACTCGTATGACAGATGAAGATGATGAGATCAATCTTAGGGACTTTTGTGTCTACCAAATGTGGTGAGTGGGTTAACCAACTAGCAGACATAAAAGGAGGGAAGAGGTGGGCAGATTGGTAGAGGCATTGGCTTCAGATAAAGCTTTTAATTTGATGGTGTGTGGGACAAGGCACTATCAGTGCCTAGTATGACACTTGGCTTGCAGATACCCCTTGGGCCTCCTTCACCTCCTTCATGCTATCTTGGCCTCGACTCATGGTCACCCAACTTCTTGAGGGGGATACTAAACTGCTCATCGAGTGGCATGGACTCCCCCTAGATTTATTACTAGAGATCTCATTGATAGAGCTGAGCCCTAGGGATGATGAGGCCATTTGGACTCTCACCCCTGATGGGAGTTTCTCTTGTAGTTCTTCTTGGAACTACTTTAGAAACCGTTCCCTAAAACAAGTTTTAGGAAATCTTATTTGGCATTATACTATCATACCTCAAGTCTCTTTCTTCGTGTGGAAACTAATGCATTGAGGACTCCCTACTGATGATTGTATGACCATCACTAGATACCACATATGTTCTACATGTCATTATTGTCACACCACTCTAAGGAATGAAACTATGAATCACTTATTTTCCATAGTGTCATTGCTATAGAATATTAGAACCAATTCTTAAGGAATTAGTCACCTACATTTCATCCTTCTTCATCTCTCACCCCCTTAGAGATCTTCAAGAAAGTTTTTGATTCACCGTAGAGCTCTAGGGGTAAGCTCTACCTACGTATTTCCATAGTGTATATGTTATGGACGATATGAAAGAGGTGAAATCTCTCTTATTTTGCAGGTCAGTCAATGCGTGCCCTAGAGATTATGAGGCACATCACACAATGGCTGTAGAGTGCCCATCCTTTAGTGTCACCTACCATGACACGTTTGGCCTCTATTTGTGAGGCACTCAAGACTTAAAGAATTTGATGCAAGACGGGGCGAGAACCCTTGTACTTGATCAATGAAACTCAAGACCTAAGATGGGGCAATCGGAAGAAGATTCGATAAGAATGTATGAGCACTAAACTCTAGGTATGACAACTAATGTCTTTATTATCATGAGTTAATAATTAGTAAATAATACAGTTTTAGCCTTAACTCATGATAAATAGACTTATATTTGTGTTAAAGTATGATTTGTGGTTTTCAGTTGATTAACGTGAATTTTTGGGTAACTATGTGATTTTATACGATTTTTACAATCTTACTTTTGAGATAAATGAAGAACAAGAAATAAAAATATTATAAAATGGGGGGACCCACAGACTAGTCGAGCCCGCAAGTGGGTCGGAAGCACAGTCAGGGAGTAGTCACGAGCAGGGGCTCGAGCGGCTTGGCTTGCACTAATAAGGGCACGTGTGCGCCACTCCCCTTCCACGTCACTAGTGGCCAGCCGGCTGTGGGGCAAGGAGTGGTCGTACACGTGAGAGTAGTGACTTTGCTTATAAAGCTAACATTACTATATATTCGCTCAAAAAATCAGCGCACAACTGATGTGGGACTAAACTCGTCACACCTTCCTCAGAGGTGGGCGACCGGCGAGGGTTCAAATCCTTCTAGAGTCAAAATTCATATATTTTTATCTGATTATCGCGACTTTCTTGCAGATCGCTGGTGAAGGATTAAGCAATGAGAATCGCTAGATCATCGGCAAAAATCTTGTCAACGTGATTCGCAGAGCATTGCTACTAAAATTACTGAACGATTTGTGATAAAAGGATCGCAATCCATCGAGTAAATCATCTTTGATTGATTGACAAATAAGTCGTCATCGAGAAGAGGACGATCCATCGGGAGATGAGTCACCACCTCTTGAGAGCGTACCAGATGCGATGAAGAGCCTCCTCTTGCTGCGCGGACCTAAGGATGAAGCTCCTTGACATGCTTTCAATTTACTTTACGCTTCATTTAGTGATAATTTTTGTGTTTTTAAGTTACCAAAATATACTTTGTTCAATTATGATTCTTCTCGCTTTTACAAATATTAATTTGATTAATTAAATCATTTGTAATCACTTATGTAAGAATCACTAAGCAGAACTCTGTTTCCACCCGATTTGCATCTACTAGGCGCTAACGTCATCTCGACGTCCGCACCCTTATTTCCCTTTTTTCGTGAATTTTAAATATATTTCCTTTTTATTTCTTAGTATAAAATTTATAGAAAATCGTATTCATTGAAAAAAATTCTGAATAATTACCAGATATTATATTACATCCTTGTGATTGACCTAGAAAATTACTATTATTTTTGGAAGTTTTATTGAATTATAATTGATATATTTATTTAGAAATACTTCTAAATATCTGAAAATTCATATTTTCTAGTTTTATAAATTTTATATTTGTGTGATTTAATATACAACAACTGAGTCACGTCAACAACCTAACCTAAGTACAGGCAGACATACCAATATGCACTATCAACTTAGGACGACCCGAGGAAACACTCAACAATGGTAAGTGTGAGGCCCTCTCGGTCCACGTCTGGACAGATGGTGGAACGGTCATCATGAGGTAGTCTAAGGTGTAGCGTCGAAAGTCACGATCCGATAACCATCCTATCCTATCTACATTCTCCTGATGGCGGTGGAGACGAGTCGGGAAAACCTTTCGAAAGATAATTAAACTTAAGTAAGAAGGGGTATGGAGCTAACCTTCAGGGCTGCCTAGCCTGGCAGGTCGTGATGGAGTGAAGACTTGACATAGTAGAGATGTCCAGGGAAGGGCAATGCTCAGCGTCGACGGTCGTCTTGGTTGAGAAGTCGTAGTAGTCGTCATCGTAAGGCATGGCACGGTTGGCGTGGGTGTGGGCCTAATGGTGGGCTGAGGGCACACTAGCATGCATGGGCCTGCTGGTGGGCCGAAGGGCATGCTAGCAGGCGTGCACGGCAAGCCGTGCAGTGGCCTTAGGGCACGCAGGTGGTAGTGTCAGATGGGGGCGCGGGCTGCAAGAGCCGGCACATGGGGCGTCTGCAGCAGCAGTGCTTCGGCGGGAATGCCAAGCATCAATGGCACTTCGGCAGGAATGTCAAGCATTAGCAGAGCTTTGGTGAGAATGCCAAGCATCAATGACGCTTCAGCAGGAATGCTGAGTGTCAGCGGCGCTTTGGCAGGAATGCCGAGCGTTAGCGGCACTTCGGCGGGAATGCTGAGCGTTGGCAGTTGGGTGGAAACCCAACTGTCGCCGGAAGGATCGGCCTTCTCTTGCAGCACTGGGAAGCGGAGCAGTGGAAGGAGGCAATCCATCCGACAATACCAGGGAGGGTTGAGCCTTCTTGGTCTAGGCAGCACTAGAAATGGCGTGATGGTGGCAGATCATCAGGAAACTCCGGCAGGTGCTTGTGAGGAGTTTGGACTGAATCTGGCTTGTCAGCACGTTAGCAGGGTTTCTCCCAACGTCGGCGGCAGGTAGGCATTCATCAGCGAACATCCAGCGACTGGGCAAAGTGACGGATGGTGGCTCCGGCGAGTTTATGGTGGAGTTCTGGAGGAAGAGGTGGTAGTTGAATCAGGAGTCGAGAGACTCCGGCAGAGTGTTCGATGATGGCTTGTAGGGAGGCGACGCGAGCCCCTTTGTCACGAAAGCATGACAGGGTTCCAGCAGAGGCGGCGGTGGCTGCAGCAGCGACTGCAGCTGTTTTGTTTGGAGATGGTGGCAAACTCCATGGCGGCAATGAGATGGCCAGCAGCGGCAGTGGTCTTAGGCAGCGGTGGGACTTCTCAGGCAGCAGCACCATGATAACAAAGTCCTCAGGGTATGATTGGCCTTCCTCTCTCTCCTTCCTTCCCTATCTTAGGTCACGAAGAAGGTACTCACAAAACGATAATCTCTCATTAGAAATATGACCCTCTCTTGAGGGGGGGTCCTACCTCCCCTTATATATGGCCCACAAGTGGGCTAAGAGGAGGTGGGCCCACTTGAGGCCCTCAAGCTCATAAGCCACAAAAAGGCTACAAAAGGGGCTTATTGGGCCTCTTAAAGAGAGACCCAATAAGCTCCCCTAAAAGGAGAAAGAGGAAGGCCCTCTTACAGTGCTTAAGTGGGCCTCAAATGAAGACCCAAATAAGCCTTAAAAGAGGCCCAAAAGGAAAGAAGCATAGGTCCCCCCCCTTAGGGTTTTATTGGATCTCTCTTTTGAGGTCCCCCCCCTAAAGAAACGGAGACACAAACAACAACACACACACATAAAATTGGGCCCCCTAACACAAATGCAAGGCCCAACAAGTCAATGTGAAAATACAAAGAGAGATAAAGGTAAGAGCTCGTTGTCGTCGCAGAGGTGGAATATTGTTGTCTTGAAGGGCTAGGCCATGTAGTGAAAGCTAGGCTCCTTCATCTTCGCACGTCGATCGGGCTGAACTTGAACTACCGTTGTCTCTTGAGCTGATGGAGATGGGTCCTTCTTGCCATCAATCTTCCCGAGGTTGAAAGAACTCGACTTTGATGAGTTGGCAAGTGGGGAAGGCAGGGACTCTAGTAGGTCTGGTCATAATTGCTCTAAGTCTACCTTTGAAATCCAAGCATCGTCCTCTGACAGGCGACCCTACCAATGTACTAGGAATCTCTATGAAACTCCATCCCTTGTAAAGTCAATTACCTTCCGAAGAATCTCCTCGACTCACTTGTGCCAATCAGGTGGTAAAATGGTGGGAGTGGACTCTATGGCAAACTCTTTCTCAGAAAAGGGGCTAGTAGATGAGGGCTCGATGTCAGATGAAAGAGGTGGGGCTTGGTGCGATACCAGATCCACCACATTGAACCTGGAGCTAATCTCCCATGAAGGAGGGATGTTGACGACATAGGCGTTCTCGTCTATTCGAGAAAGAATACAAAATGGGCTGATGATATGAGTGGGAAGCTTCGTAGCAGAGCTAGGAGCGTAACGCTCGGGCCTCATCCTCACCATAACCTGGTCTCCCACCTAGAAGATCTGGGGTCGACGATGCATATCAGTAGCCTGCTTGTACAATCCATTCTGATTCTATATCCTATCATGGATGTCCTGATGCAACTAACTAACATGCTAGGCGAATGTGACACCATCCTTGGAAACTCTAACATGAGGGTCTAGGGGTACTAGATCTATGGGCTTGTAGGGTGCTAAGTCATGTGTGATCTTGAAGGGGCACATGCCAGTGGTACGGTTGATCGAGGAGTTATAGGCAAACTCAGCACGTTGTATGATTAGATCCCAAGTGGTCAAGCTCTTGCCGACTAATGACCGAAGTAGATTCCCTAAGCTACAATTGATGACCTCAGTCTAGCTGTCAGTCTGTGGGTGGTAAGCAGTAGAGAACTTGAGCTTAGTCCCAAGTAATCTCCAAAGAGTCCTCCAAAAGTGGTTGGTAAACCGTATGTCATGGTCTGAGACTATGGATTTGGGTAGTCCATAAAGGCGCACAATCTCTCTAAAGTAGAGGCTAGCGACCTTGGAGGTGTCAGAGGTTTTCAAACATGGCACGAAGTGTGCCATCTTTGAAAACCTATCGATGACCACCATGAAGGAGTCATGTCGTCATGTAGTGCGCGAGAGTCCTAAAATGAAGTCCATGCTGATGTCATCCCATGGGCAGGTTGGCACTAGAAGTGGCATGTAGAGTCCAACATTCTTCTTTACTTACTTGGTGAGTGTGCACACTCGACACTAAGCGACGATGTTTCCTACATTGCGCTTGAGAGTCGGCTAGTAGAACTGATACTCAACCGCTGCGATGGTCTTATCACGATCGAAATGGCCAGATAGACCTCTGATAAGTCTTCATTATCATGAGTTAATAATTAGTAAACAATATAGTTTTAGCCTTAACTCATGATAAATAGACTTATATTTGTGTTAAAGAATGATTTTTGGTTTTCAATTGATTAACATGAATTTTTGGGTAATTATGTGATTTTATACGATTTTTACAGTCTTACTTTTGAGATAAATGAAGAACAAGAAATAAAAATAAAAAAATTTCAAAAATAGAGGGACCCGCCGGCCAGCCAGGCCCGCGAGCAGGTCGGAAGCGCAGTCGGGGAGTAAGCCACGAGCAGGGGCTCGAGCGGCTTGACTTGGGGACCGACAGGGCACGCGTACGCCACTCCCCTTCCACATCACCGGTGGCCAGCCGGCTGTGGGGCAAGGAGTGGTCATACACACGAGAGAATGGGCTTTGCTCACAAATCTAACATTACTATATATTCGCCCAAAAAATCGGCGAACAACCGATGTGGGACTAAATCCCAGAAGAGGCGGGCGACCGGCGCGGGTTCGAATCCTTCCAGAGTCAAAATTCATATATTTTTATTTGATTATCGCAACTTTCCTGCATATCGCCGGGGAAGGATTAAGCAACGAGAATCGCTGAATCATCGGCGAAAATCTCATTAACGCGATTCGTGGAGCATTGCTACTAAAATTGCTGAACGATTCGCGATAAAAGGATCGCGAATCCACCAAGTAAATCATCTCCGATTGATCGACGAACAAGCCGTCGTCGGGAAGAAAACGATCCGCCGGGAGACCAGTCACCACCTCCTGAGAGCGTACCAAATGCGATGAAGAGCCTCCTCTTGCTGCGCGGACCTGAGGATGAAGCTCCCTAACACACGCCCCACCTCCATCCAGCTCCTCTCCGTCGGGTGACAGCCGCCGGAGAGCTGCAAAGTCGCCGTTTTTCCGCTCCGCTGGGTGACAGCCGCCGGAGACGATTCGACGACCCACTTCATTGGTCTCTAGACTTCGCGAGAAGATCTAGAGATTGCCCACGTCGTCTTTATCCAAGGAGAGCCTTTGAGGCCGTGGACACTGCACGATGATCCTCCCGAACGCTCAGGATTCCGGTGCATCGCCGACGCATCGCCGTCGCGACGCCGGAACTCTGTTTTCCTGCTTTCAGTTTAATTTATGCTTCATTTAGTGATACTTTGTTGATTTTAATTTACCAAACTATACTTCGTTCAATTACGATTCTTCCGGCTTTTACAGATCTTAATTTGATTAATTGAGTCGTCTATAATCGCCTACGTAAGAATCGCCGGGCGGAACTCTGTTTCTGCTTCATTCGCGTTGGCCGGGCGCTGACGTCATCCTGACGTCCGCACCCTTATTTCCTTTTTTTTGTGAATTTTAAATATATTTCCTTTTTATTTCTTAGTATAAAATTCGTAAGAAAATCGTACTCATTGAGAAAAATTCTGAATAATTACCAGATATTATATTACATCCCTGTGATAGACCTGGAAAATTACCGCTATTTTTGGAATTTTTATTGAATTATAATTGATATATTTATTTAGAAATACTTCTAAGTATCCGAAAATTCGTATTTTCTAGTTTTATAAATTTTATATTTGCGTGATTTAACATACAACGACTGAGTCACGTCAACCTCCTACATGACATTCCCAAGTGAGGAAGTCATGAAGGGATGTGCGTGGAATGCAGAGTCTGCTCTTAAAGAATAGACATCTATTGACCACAAGGAAGTCCTTATAATCTTGGGATGGACCATCCGAGAGTGCTCATACCCTAAATGGCACCTGGCACTATTGACGAATGAGTAGTGTGGTGGTGTCTATCCACAATACCTCATAAGGGGCTGGATAGCTAATAATACTCAGCCTCGCCCTTTGCAAGACCTAGTCTGACATGACATTGACGCAACTGCCGCTGTCAATGATCACCTTGCATGCATGTCTGTTGATCTTCACATAGGTGTAGAAGATCGACATGCAAAGAGAATCGTCTGTCGTAGGGGAAGATGTGGACATAGTCATCCTTAGTGCTGGGGTGATCTCTCTAGGTGCCGTGGTGTTTGGCTATGGTGCAAGAACCACATCTTGAGATGGACGCTAGACAACAACGTTGACCAGTCCCCTCGATGACATGCTCGTTGATGAGGCAACGAGAGAGGTAGCCTCGGCTGCTGGTACAGTGGCTGGCCAGATCTGGATGTAACCAATCAAATCAAGAGTGTCATCACTCTCCTCAGCTAAACCCTCATCAACAATGTAGACATCATCACTTGTGGGGATGTCATCCTCATGTGAACCGCTACCCAATTCTTCGATCTTTATGAGGAGATTCAAAGATGGACATTGGCTCATCTAGTGCCCCTTACCCTTTGACGTGACTTAGTCATTGTATATTAAATCACGCAAATATAAAATTTATAAAACTAGAAAATATGAATTTTCAGATATTTAGAAGTATTTCTAAATAAATATATCAATTATAATTCAATAAAACTTCCAAAAATAGCGGTAATTTCTCAGGTCAATCATAAGGATGTAATATAATATTTTGTAATTATTCAGATTTTTTCTCAATGAATATGATTTTCTATGAATTTTATACTAGGAAATGAAAAGGAAATATATTTAAAATTCACGAAAAAGGGAAATAAGAGCGCAGACATTAGGATGACGTCAGTGCCCGGTGAGTGCGAATCGGGCATAAACAGAGTTCTGCCCGATGATTCTTATGTAAGTGATTACGAACGATTTAATTGATCAAATTAAGATCTTTAAAAGTTGGAAGTATCGTAATAGAACAAAGTATATTTTGGTAAATTAAAAATACAAAATTATCACTAAATGAAGCATAAAGTAATTTGAAAGTAGGAAAATAGAGTTCCGACGTTGCGACGGCAATACATCGGTGATGCACCAGAATCTTGAGCATTCGGGAGGATCGCCGTGTAGTGTCCATGGCCTCAAAGGCTCCCCTTGGATAAAGACGACGTGGGCAATTTCTAGATCTTCTCGCAAAGTCTAGAGATTAATGAAGTGGGTCATCGAATCGTCTCTGGTGGCTGTCACTTGGCGGAGCAGAAAAATGGCTACTTTGTGGCTCTCTGGCGGCTGTCACCTGACGAAGAGGAGCTGAATGGAGGTGGGCGTGTGTCAGGGAGCTTCATCCTCAGGTCCGCATAGCAAGAGGAGGCTCTTCATTGCATCTGGAACGCTCTCAAGAGGTGGCAACTCATCTCCCGACGGATCATCCTCTTCCCGATGACGGCTTGTTCGTCGATCAATCGGAGATGATTTACTCGATAGATTCGCGATCCTTTTATCGCGAATTGTTCAGCAACTTTAGTAGCAATGCTCCGCAAATCGTGTTGACGGGATTTTTGCCGATGATCTAGCGATTCTCGGTTCTTAATCCTTCACCAGCGATCTGCAAGAAAGTTGCGATAATCAGACAAAAATATATGAATTTTTACTCTAGAAGGATTCGAACCCGTGCCGGTCGCCCCCCTGTGAGGAAGGTGTGATGTGGGTTTAGTCCCACATCGGTTGTGCGCCGATTTTTCAGGCAAATATATAATAATGTTAGCTTTGTAAGCAAAGTCCGTTCTCTCGCATGTACGACCACTCCTTGCCCCACAACTGGCTGGCCACCGGTGACATGGAAGGGGAGTGGCGCACATATGCCCCTATTGGTCCAAGCTAAGCCGCTTGAGCCCCTATTCGCGGCTACTCCTCGACTGCACTTCCGACCTGCTTGTGGGCCTGACTGGCTGGTGGGTCCCCTCATTTTGTAATATTTTTTATTTTTATTTCTTGTTCTTCATTTATCTCAAAAGTAAGACTGTAAAAATCGTATAAAATCACATAATTACCCAAAAATTCACATTAATCAATTGAAAACCACAAATCATTCTTTAACATAAATATAAGTCTAGTTATCATGAGTTAAGGCTAAAACTATATTATTTACTAATTATTAACTCATGATAATGAAGACTTATCACACCCCCCAACTTAAATCATTGCTAGTCCTTTAGCAATGGAATTATGAAAATAAAATTTTACAAATCTCAAACATCATATTTCAATACAGAAAAAAAAATACAATTAGAAATGATGCACCTTTAAACACTTTGAATTCTTATATCAAGTATTTAAGAATGATGTCAAGCACTTAAATGTTTAAACACTCTTTGGAATAACAATCTAGACTTCACTTCTTTTATTCACATCTTTATCACTTCTTCACTGATAGATGTATTTACAAGATGTTCCAATTATCAATACTCATCCAAGAATGATATTGATCCTACATTTCCCTTTTTCTATGACTTGATTTTTGAAGTTTGCACTATATTTCTTCCTTCTTTTTTTTTTTTATATATAGTGGATAAGTAGGTTTTCTTGTCGATAAATTTCGACAATAAGAATGATGTCTCACACCCTCCATGTGTACTCTTCATTTTCAAGGCTTTCACTTTATCCACTTATTTTTCAGCAAGTGTTTTTCTATGCACGATTTTCGACAATGAGAATGATGTCTCACACCCTCCATGTGTACTCTTCGTTTCTAGATTTTTCACATTACTCTCTTTTTTTCTTTTCGAAATAAGTTATTTCTCCTCACAAGTCCTATAGATCAGGGTGCAAAAATCTATATTATACTCAAATGATCAATCAAATTTTCACATCAAGTAAATACTATCCATCAAGATCATGAAGTGAAAATCTGTAAAATCAAATCCATGTTATCTATCATGTATCTAAGGAGTATTCTAACATTTTATGTTATTAGATCATTCTTTTGACTCAATAATAATCTTCCTAGTATCTTTTGGTATCAATCAATCTAATTGATTTACTTTTTCATGCATGCAATATGATGTAAGGAATTTGTAAATTAGATAGTTCTAACAATTCTATTTTCTATTTTCAATTCTATTTTTAGCAGCAATAAATTTGTCAAAAATAAATCAAAACTATCTTCTTTATAGTTGTAATTTCAAATTTCAGTAATATATATCTAGGGGATTGAAATGTAAGAAAAGGGTCTTCTAGAATTTCAAATTTCGAGCTGTTTTTTGTCTGCTGTTTTTGAGACTCTGTTGTTTCTGACAGAAAACTAGAAAATAGATGTTGAAATTTTTCTAAATTTTATTTTATTTTTATTTTTTTAGTTGCTGTTCTAAGTTGAATAAAATGCAAACACATGTTCTTAATTGTCCTACAACATAAATTAATAATGAATACTTTACCCCGCAACTTAAAAATGACATTGTCCTCAGTGACACAGAAAAATTGAAACAACATATGCAGAAAATATAATTTTCAAGTGAAGCATGTATATCTATAAAGTTAAGCATTAAAAATATTTTCATAAATGATGAAGCTCAAAAAGACATCACCTCAACCTTGTTTTTAATTTTCCACTTCATCTTGACACACGTCCCACCTCCATCCAACTCTTCTCTATTAGGTGACAGCCACTGGAGAGGCACAAAGTCATCGTTTTTCTACTTCACCAAGTGACAGCCACCGAAGACAATTCGATGACCCATTTCATTGATCACTTTGCAAAGAGATCAAAGATTGCCTATGTCGTCCTTGTCCAAAGAGAGCCTTCGAGGCCGTGTACATTACACGATGATCCTCTCGAACACTCAAGATTCTAGTGGATCGTCGACGCATCACTGTCACGATGCTGGAACTCTATTTTCCTACTTTCAACTTACTTTCCGCTTCATTTAGTGATAATTTGTGTGATTTAAATTTACCAAGATATACTTCATTCAATTACGATTCTTTCGGCTTTTACAAATCTTAATTTGATCAATTAAATCATCTGTAATCGCTTATGTAAGGATTGCTGGGCAGAACTCTATTTTTGTCCGATTCACATTCATCAAGCACTGATGTCATCTTGACATCTACACCCTTATTTCCCTTTTTTGTGAACTTTAAATATATTTTCTTTTCATTTCTTAGTATAAAATTCATAAAAAATAGTATTATTTGAGAAAAATTCTAAATAATTACTAAATATTATATTACATCCCTATGATTGATCTAGAAAATATCATTATTTTTGAAAGTTTTATTAAATTGTAATTGATATATTTGTTTAGAAATACTTCTAAATCTCTGAAAATTCATATTTTCTCCACGAATCATTTGGTAATTTTAGTAACAATCCTCCGTGAATCATGTTGACGAGATTTTTGTCAATGATCTAACAATTCTGGTGGCTTAATCCTTCACCAACAATCTACAGGAAAGTCGAAATAATTAGATAAAAAATAAGAGTTTTGACTTTGAGAAGATTCAAACCCACACTAGTTGCTTGCCCTTTCTAGGGAAGGTGTGCCAAATTTAGTCCCACATCACTTGTGCATCAAAGTTTTTAGTGAATATATAGTAATATTACATTTGGAATCAAGTCCTTTTCTCGTGTGTGTACGACCACTCCTTGCCCCACAATCAACTGGCCACTAGTGACATAGAAGGGGAGTGGCACACACGTGCCCCTATTAATCCTAGCTACTCGAGCCCCTACACATGGCTCCTCTCCGATTGTGCTTTCAACCTGCTTACGGGCCCTACTGGCCAGCAGGTCCCCCCATTTTGCTATATTTCTATTTTTATTTTTTTCTTTATTTATCTTAAAACTAAGACTATAAAAATCATATAAATTTGTATAAAATCATATAATTATTCAAAAATTCACGTTAATCAACTAAAAATGACTTTTCACATTTTAACA